ACTTTCAACTAACACCTCTGACTAGCAACCATCTCCTATCAATCCTTTGACTTGTTTTCAAACCAAAAATCTAAAATACGTGTAAAACAAACATGTTTTTCTTCTTTTTTTTATAAATAAAATAAGCAGTAAACTGTAAACATTATCAAACGAGACCTTATCGTATACCATTAATTAGAATAATCATATGAATGGATGCATGGGTTAAAACTTAAAAATTGTGCAACATTAAACTTGCATTTCTTGTATGTATATGGAATTCACAAAGTAGATAGGAGACTCAATAACAAGAATAAGAAAAGAGCGAACCCTCGAAGTTTCTCTATATCTGTTGAGATTTTGGTATACTTTTGTGCTAGGGAGATTGCCTAATATGACAGTGTGAAGCCTGGCGACACGTAGCAGAATCTTCAAAACTGAAATTCCAACTTGAAGGATGCAACGAAGGCTTTAGACACCGAGCAATAATTGTTGGAAGAACAAACTCAATTTGAGTTTGAAGATGGTGAATTTTAGAGAAGATGAGAAGCTGCTAGAGAATTCTAGAGTCAAGAAGAGAAGTTCAAAATGAAGAAGAAAATGAAAGCAACTAGAAGGAAAATGAAGCTTCAAGGAAGCTCCATTGATAAAGCTTAACGAGGAAGGCACACTATAGCGCACACAGTTTACACACGTTTGTGAAAACTATAAATAGATAGGTTATGTGGTTGTTTTAGATAGAGTGAGAGAAAAATATAATCTCAAGGTAGAAAAATATAATCTCTAGGGAGAAACACAATGTCTGCAAATAAGGAGAATTCTAAGAGAGTAGAGAATTTGAGAGTTGACAGAGATATAGCTCTATTTTGTATAATTTGTTTGTGATTGAATAAAATAAGTGTTTATTCAATTAATTCCTCTATTTGTATATCTACACAACCGGCATACACCTATCTTCCACTTTTTTATCAGTGGCATTAGAGTTAGAAAAGCTAGTTTATACCAAAATTTCGAAGAAATAGAGAAGAAACATAGGGTTTTCAAAATTTGTCCAAATTTCGAAGGTGTTGAAATCAGTTTCTGAATATGCCAGAGGGTTCATGTTGACTCGAGGAGTCTAGAATCATTAACTAGAAGAGCCAAGAAGTATCTGGAGTTTGCCGATAAACACGACATCCGAAAACAAAACTTTTTGAAGTTGTCGAAATCCATTTTTGAGAATAGAATATTAAAGCATTCGCCGAGAGGATTCTAACGCAAAAAATCATGTCGAAATCGAAGCTAAAATGAAGCCGCAATTGTCAAATCAAAGTTTGCTAGAAAAAAAGATGTGCCAAAGAAGACAAACCAGGGTGGCAGCAAAATAAAAGAAATTATCCAGTGTTATGCGGTTAAGCTACAATCGTCAATTTGAACTATCTAGATTGTTTTGGCCAGAATTAAACCATTTGAGGTCCGTTTTGGATGATCCAATAGTGCTTTCCAACTATTTAGACTATTCTAGACACATCCATAAGGTCAAATTTTGCAAATTTCATACAAGTAATTTATAGATTTTATAAAGTGACGAAAATATTCTTCAAAGAGGGAGTCGAAGAATACAACAAAGAAAATATCAAAGATAAGGTGATAGAAGACGTTCTAGATATCATAGACGAGATAAACAACAGATGGTTGTTTTTAGCAACAAAAGACAATAGTTGTTTGTTCCACACAACAGAGAACAACTGTGATTATTTCATAAGCACCGAACAATAAGTAGTTGTTCCAAGAGACATACGTCAACAGGTGGTTGACAGCACCAAATAACATGAGGTTGTTCTGAGAGAGATAGAAGTCAATAGAGGGTTGACTACAAAGACTAGACAAGAGGTCATCTACGAGAAGATATGAAGCATCATGTAGAAAATCTAACAAATTGAGTTTGAGGGGGGATGTTGGAAGAACAAACTCAATTTGAGTTTGAAGATGGTGAATTCCAGAGAAGAGAAGAAGCTGCCGGAGAATTCAATAGTTAAGAAGAGAAGTTCAAAATGAAGAAGAAAATGGAAGCAGCCAGAAGGAAAATGAAGCTTCAAGGAAGCTCCATTGATAAAGCTTAAGGAAGAAGACACACCGTGGCACACACGGTTTACATACGTTTGTGAAATCTATAAATAGATAGGTTGTGTGGTTGTTTTAGATAGAGTGGGAGAAAAATGTAATCTCCAAGGAGAAACACAACATCTGCAAATAAGGAGAATTCTAAGAGAGTAGAATTTGAGAGTTAACAGAGAGATAACTCTATTTTGTATAATTTGTTTGTGATTGAATAACAAGAGTGCTTATTCAATTAATTCCTCTCTTTGTATATCTACACAACCAGTATACACTCCTCTCCCACTTTTCTATCATTAATGGTGGGCTTTTATATATTTTGTATGGAATTTATGATGTCTCACACACAAACAAATGAATGAATTTTATTTCAAACAATGTAACAAATACAATTTGTGGGGTTTTATCTCCTACCTCTTTATCTCTCAAACCTCTTATAGGTTTCTTGATTTATTGATTGATTGATATCCATAATAACAACCTAACAATCTATCTATTTATATATTTAACAAACATGTAAACCGTGTGTGCTACAATGTGTCTTCCTCCTTAAGCTTTATCAATGGAGCTTCCTTGAAGGTTCATTTTCCTTCTAGCTGCTTCCATTTTCTTCTTTATTTTGAACTTCTTTTCTTGACTTTTGAATTCTCTGGTAAGTTCTCATCTTCTCTGGAATTCACATTCAAATTGAGTTTGTTCTTCCAATGTCCCCCCTCTTCTAACAATAATGCAGTCATATTTCAAGTACTTCTATTTGATTGTGAGGGATAAAAATCTTACAGTAATAACAAGACCTCGTGATATAGACATGAAAACAACGGTAAGGAAAGAGCATAAACATGAAAAGAAATCAAACTTGTCAACTTTACAAAGTCGGAAAATAGCTTTTAAATCATTTAAACTTATCACCACAGATATGATTATTGGTACTATGATGGTGTTGGGAGTCCAATGAAGCAGTGGTGTAAGAAACAATAGAGTCATGAGCACATAAACTGCCATTACTATATTTGAAACTATTGTTTTTGCTCCGACGTTGCGATTGACAGCAGATCTAGAAAATGATCTTGAAGGATTTTAAACACAAAGGACTTGTCATTGTTAGTTATGAAAATAAATAAATAAAATAACATGTGAGTTAAACATATAGAAATGCGATATAACCTGTGGCAATGTAACAAGAAAAGCAAGAACCAACGATGTTCATTGCACCAAATGCCACTACAACAAATTACACATTTGGCGACCAAAATTGGCGACCAAAACTTATTTAGTTGCCAAAAATATTCCTTTTGGCAACTATTTTTTTTTTATAGTCACCAAAGGTTCACATTTTAGCTACCATTTTAATTTAGTCGAGATATATTGATTTTTGGTGACTAAAAAAAAAAATTTAGTCACTGAATATATAGTTATAGGCAACCAAAAAAAATTAGTCATCAAAAGTCTATATTTTACGCTACTTATTTTAGGTTTAGTTGCCGAATAAGCATATTTGCCGGCAAAAATATAGTTTAGTTGCCAAATATTATGGACATTTTTAACACTTTTTGGTGACTAAACAATTTAGTCGGCGTATATTTAATTTTTGCTGATGAAAAAAAAAAAAAGTAGCCAAATGATACTTTTAGCTACTGATATATTAGTCGCTATTACTTATTCTTTTGGCTGCAAAACAGTTTCTGGTTATTTATTACTATTTGGAGACAAAAATAATTTAGTCACTAAAAGTTGAATTTTTTTTTTTTTTTTTAGAGGGAAACCAATTAATTTGGCGCCTATATATGTCTATTCTGTCTCTGAAACGCACACCCACGATATACACTGTTCTATCTCAAACACTTTTCGCTCTGTTGACACTACCAAGCTTCACCCCCGCTAACCACCGTCGCTGGCCACCAGCGCTCTCCACCGTCGCATACCGCTACCACCACCTGCAAATCACCAGCACCACTTAATCACAAGTTTTTTTTCTCTGCCTCTGTCGCTCTTAGTCAGTATCTCTCTCTGTCGATCTCGCTCCCTCTCCCTCTCCCTCTCCCTCTCCGCCCATCTCTCTCTCTCTCTCTCTCTCTCTCTCTCTCTCTCTCTCTCTCTCTCTCTCCTCATTTCTCACACTTGCCCTAGGGTTTTATATGATTTTTGTTGATTAATTTTGTGTTGATTTCTTAACTCAAAATGCAAAATTTTGAGTTCATGTTGTGTTGATTTCCCACACTTGCTATAGGGTTTGTGTTGATTTGTAGACAGAAATCCCAAATTCAAGCTCGTGAGCAAGAATTTGGGACATGACTGGGGGTATTCTAATTCTAAACTATACATAATTAACTTGTAGAGGGTGTATTGTCCACTTTCACTCAAGATGATGAGAAAACTGACGCAAATGTGGGAAACCCAGATGGATTACGAACTTTAAACCAAATGTAGAACTTTGGCATTCAATTTGCTTTTTTGTGATTCGATCGCTAGCTGGGAGCTCTACTGCGTTTTTGTACTTATGAATTGTGTCATTTGCTTTGCATTCGTGTTTCAGATCCATCAATCCATGATATTATGTTGTGAAATATACATATACCATCTCTCTTTGCGCTGTGTTCTGATAATTAGTATCAAATAGATGTCTGGGAGTGAAATTAGGTTCGAATTGGTTTGACCTGTTTGATTTATTCCTATAAATATCTCATTTGATTGTTCTCTTGAGCTATATTGAACCTATATTCATGTCCCTTTTGATCAGCTAATTGGATCTACTTGAAGAAACATTTAATTAAGTTATATGCTTTGTAATTAAGTTTGGGCCAGATTTCATATATATATATATGTATGTGTGTATTTTTGTTTGTCTTCAGCATCATACGTTTGTTGAGAAAAAGAAAAAAAATGGAACTGTTATGATGCTTTTAGAAACTTTGAAGGCCCTTGTTTGCAATTTTATTAGAGATTCTCAACTCAAGATGTCTTTCAGGAAAAGTAGTAATAAATTGGCCCTAAATGTTTATTCCTTTTGTTAATTGCTGCTGTCTATCATGTGTTGTCATACTTCGTCCATGACTTGGCCAAAAGGTGGATGATTATAATTATGAGGTGGTTAGTAAGATATTAATACATAATATACTACTCAAAAAGGTTAAGTTGTTAGGCAGTGTAAATCAAATCCTTAAATTCATCAACAATCATTCTATTAAATAACCATCTCCAAAGAAGAAAGTTAAGGAAAAGAAACAACTTTTGACAGAAAAGGGATGGGGCGGTTGGGAACCTGTTGAAGGGAAAGGTTAAGAGTCATTGCCAAAAGAACATTTCAATCAAAGTGTACCCTCTAGCTTGAGACCGGCCTTGGCACAATGGTAAGGTTACTCCATTGCGACTAAGGGTTCATGGGTTCGTAACCTTTGATGATAGCTTTGTTGTTTCTTCAACTTACGATGGTTGTGTTTGGTGAATTTTCTCATTATTTTTTAGCCCTCCTTGTTTATGTTCTACTTGTATAGTCCTAATAGTTAGTTGTTTCACCTTAACTTTTTAATACAATTCCTAAAGCATGTGTTTTCAAATTGTAATATATGTTGCAAATAAGTGGAAACCAAAAGATAGGTTGAAAAGATGGACAAGAGTTGGATGATGATAAAAGACCTCAATTCCATTGTTGAGTATTTTTATTTATTTGGTGTCTATTCGTACGTTAATCTTTGCTTGATTTGTAGGGTTCAAAAGATGGATAAAAGTTGGATGATGATAAAAGTAAAGAGTATCAACAAGGTGTTAAGTCATTTATTGACTTTGCTACAAAGAATTTAGGCCCACAAGATGACATTCGTTGTCCGTGTGTCGATTGCTTGAATGGCACAAAACATAGTCGAAAAGTTGTATGGCTGCACTTGATTCGAAGAGGAATCACGTGTTCTTATAGAACTTGGGTGCATCACGGGGAACGTGTTCTCATGTGTCATGATCAGCCGAGTGGGTCACAGAAGTTGAAGAGGACTAACGAATGGATTCATCCCAAATGCGGTGAGCCACATGTAAGTATTAAACTCTTTGCGCAATTGTATTTAATATTAATTAGTATCTTGGCACAAAATTGCATGTTATTCCTCGTGCGTTTATTGAATAGTCTACTTTTTTTTTGTAATGACAGAATGAGATGGTGAATCTACAAGTGGCATTGGCCCACGACCCTCTTCGCCATATGATAGTGCGGCACGAGCTTGTGACAAACATATGGAGGCAATAAGAGCTGAGATGGAGGTTCTTCGTGAGGAATGCGAAAAATATCACAAAGAGTTGATAAAGAAGAAAGAAGAGCGCCAGAGAGATCGTGAAGAGATGATAAAGGAAAGAGAGGAGATGATGAAACAAGTAGAATAAGGAAAAAAAGCAAGGGAGGCGCAACAAGAACAACTTAATTATCTAAACAATGTGGTTTTACGACTCACAACTCTGTTGCAAGGTTCAGATGGTCATCGTCCTATTTGGTAAGAAGAATTTCATTCATATGATAGTAAAAGTTCTACAAAAATACCTCACATATTGACAATATTGTTTTGGAGAACTTGGAATTGTTTTGACATTATACAAATAAGAGGAGAAAAAAAATGTGACATTAATTTGTTAACTAAGTCATTAATTATGAAAAAAAATGAGAGGAGCTGAGAGAATATTTAATGATGCAAATTTCCCATGTTATCACAACGATGGAATTCTGTTAAATGATAAACCTAAAAAAAAAAAAACACATTGGACCTATGGCGAAACACCTTAATTAGCATGCTTTAAACTTAACCGAAGCGTTAAGAGGGCAAAAATGCGAAATAGCCCTCGAACCACCGTACGGATGTCACGGCCAGCTTTCCTGTGACAAATAGAGCCTGTGACAACAGACAGAATGTAATTAGCACGTGTAGATTGGGAGGTAGAGCCGAAAATGCATTAAACTTAACCAAAAAAGGGCGTTAAGTATGCAAAAAAGCGAAACAGCCCAGAACCACCATATGGATGTCACGGCCAGCTTCCCCATGACAAATAGGACCTGTGACAACAGACGGAATGTCATTAGCGCACATAGGTTGGGAGTTAGAACTGAAAAAGCTTAAACTTAATCGAAAAAGGGCGTTAAGGGGGAGAAAATGCAAAACAGCCCCAGAACCACCGTATGGATGTCACAGCCAGCTTCCCCGTGACAAATAGGACCTGTGACAACAGACGGAATGTAATTAGCACGTATAGGTTGGGAGTTAGAGTAAAAAACGCCTTAAACTTAACCGAAAAAGGGCATTAAGGGGGCGAAAATGTGAAACAGCCCCCGAACCACCGTATAGATGTCACAAATAGCTTCCCCATGACAAATAGGACCTGTGACAACAGATGAAATATAATTAGCACGTGTAGGTTGGGAGTTAGAGCCGAACACACATTAAACTTAACCGAAAAAGGGCGTTAAGGGGGTAAAAATGCAAAACAGTCCCCGTGCCTTCCTTAAGGTTTAGTCCCAAGGAGGTCATGAGTTCAATTCCCCTTAGGGGAGTTGAATTAGGATGGCGAGATTTTCTCCCATAGGTGCTCATCTAATAACTAACAATTAACATTTGCCGATCAAAAAAAAAATGCAAAACAGCCCCCAAATCACTGTACGGATGTCACGGCTAGCTTCCCCGTGACAAATAGGACCTGTGATAATAAACGAAATGTAATTAACAAGCGTATGTTGGGAGTTAGAGCCAAAAACGCATTAAACTTAATTGAAAAAGGGCGTTAAAGGGGCGAAAATGTGAAACAGCTCCCGAACCACCGTACGGATTTCACGGCCAGCTTTCCCGTGACAAATAGGACCTTTGACAATAGATGGAATGTAATTAGCACGTGTAGGTTGGGAGTTAGAGCCGAAAACGCCTTAAACTTAATTGAAAAAGGGCGTTAAGGGTGCGAAAAAGCGAAACAACCCCAGAACCACTGCATGGATTTCACGGCGAGCTTCCCTGTGACAACAGACGGAATGTAATTAGCACATGTAAGTTGGGAGTTAGAGCCGAAAACGCATTAAACTTAACCGAAAAATGGCATTAAGGGGCCGAAAATGTGAAACAGCTCCCGAACCACCGTATAGATGTCACGGCCAGCTATCCAGTGACAAATAGGACCTGTGACAACAGACATAATATAATTAGCGTGTGTAGGTTGGGAGTTAGAGTCGAAAATGCCTTAAATTTAATCGAAAAAGGGCGTTAAGGGTGCGAAACAGCTCCATAACCACTATATGGATGTCACGGCCAGCTTCCCCATAACATATAGGACCTGTGATGACGGTCGGAACGTCATTAGCACACGTAAGTTGGGAGTTAGCCAAAAACGCCTAAAACTTAACCGAAAAAGGTCGTTAAGGGGACAAAAATGAAAAACAACCCCAGAACCACTGTAAGAATGTCATGGCTAGCTTCCCCGCGACAAATAGGACCTATGACAACAGACGAAATGTAATTAGCATAGATAGGTTGGGAGTTATTGCCGAAAACGCCTTAAACTTATTCGAAAAGGGGAGAGTTTGACATCCAATAAATGTTCAATATTTTGATTGTAAATGATGTCATTGTTTCATCATATACGGTGGTCATTTGGGTGGTAAACGTATTAAGAAAGCATGATATGGTTATGGAGATAACCCCATAGATTACTTGTTTATTTTACTTTGACTAGGAAAATGGGAATGAAGAAGAGTTAAAATAAATTTACAACCAAAACATTTTAGAATAAGTATTTATTTTATGAAGAGGTATGCTCCTAAAAATTGTATTTTTTAAAAATTGAAGTCAAGTTTGGAATAAATTTTTCATGATACATAAATATGATTGTATTTCAAAAAAAGGCTTTTATAGATTGTTCTACGTTAAATGCTTGTTATTACAACATTTTTCCTATGTCTGAATCAATTGATATTTGTAATGGATGTAATTTTTTTTTTAATTTTTTGCAGATGGCTTTTGGCATGGACTTGTGGATAGTTTATATTTTTGTATATGGAGGACACTTGACAATTTTGTATAATTCTGTTAACTGTGTCATCCTTTGCTTTTGTGTAGATTAGTTTTACTGATACATATAACTTTTGTAATCCAATTGATTGTTGCTGGCGTGGCATATAGATCACCTTTTGTCGTGATACAGATTACGAAGCCAAATGGTCATATCGCATGGTAGTAAATATATTTTTTGTATATGGAGGGTTAGGTTTTTGTATGGAAACATAATTTTAGTTTGGACAATAGTTGATTTGTATGGAATATATACATTTAAAGTTATCATTTTTGGATGGTTGGAAGTAATATGGATTGTGGAATGATTGATAAAATATGTATTGTTTTGTTTATATAAATACTACAGATTACACGGAATACAGACTGGTTGTGGAGAAATTAGAATTTTGCGATAAAACATAAGAGTATTTTTTTGGCGACTAAACAATTTGTAGTAAAAAAGGAAGTACATATTGCAGTGACTAAAATGTTAGTAGCTAAAACCAAATAAAAATTTTCGGAAAACAATTGCGGCGACTACAAAGCTTAGTGCCAACAAAAAGCAGACGTTAGGCGATTAAAACTTAAAAAATAATTAGACATTTGGCGATTAAAATATTTTTTAGCTGAAAAACAAAAAACATTTACCGACTACAAGTTTAGTAGCGAAAAATGTGAGACTTTTGCCGACTACATGTTTAGTAGGCAAAACACAATATTTGCCTACTAAAAGCTTCGTAGCCAGAAAAGTCAACCTTTTAGTGACTAAAAAATTAGTGGCCAAAAACAAAACCAGACTTTAGGCGACTAAAACCTTAGTAGCCAAAAACAAGTTGACATTTGGCAACTAAAATATTTTGTAGCCAAATTTTTTTTGATGAACAACACTCTTGCCGATTACAAGTTTAGTAGCGGAAAATGTGAGAATTTAGGCGACTAAACTTTTAGTAGCTAAAACACAATCACACTTTAGGCGACTAATATATTTAGTAACTAAAAAAATAATAGGAGGAACCAAAAAAAAATTTGGCAACTAAATCTTTAGTAGCTAGATATAAGTAAGGTTTTTTGAGTCAAAATATTTTTAGTCGCTGAAAATGTGATATTTAATTTTTTTCAATACTTTTGGTGACTAAAAAATTAGTCGGCATTTCAGTACATTTGGCGACAAAAATAATTTTAGTCGCCAATTACCTTTCTCGACAATCCTTTAGCGACTGCTCATGTGACCAAAGAATTTAGTCACTAAAAAGTTTCAGTGACTAAAAGATGACTTTTGGCGACTAAAAATTTAGTCGCCAAAAGTGTAAATTCTTGTAATGAAACTAATATACTAATGGTTTATTAGTGGTGGTGGGGTGGTAACGGCAGGGTCAAGGTGGTAGTAGTAGTGGAGGTGGCGGCATAGATGATAGTGGTGGGGTGGTGGAGGTGATGGTGGCGGTGGTAGCATAGTAGCATTGAAATTTTTAAGCAATCTAAGTAAAAGAATAAGTTAGAAGAGATAACTTACAACTAGTGAGATTAACCCAATTGTAATACCAGTTTTCAAAACATTGATTAACTTTGGGCCATGAAAATACAGAAGTTTCACTGACAATTGGTTCAGACCTTCTGGCAACTGCCCTATCTGTTAACAATATTAGAAAATTCTCTTATGCACAGCAATGAAGGATGATGGAAATATTTTTGAAAAACAAAAAAGCATTTTACTTTGCATAAATCATTGAAGAATTTAAGTCCAGACCGTGGAAACTTCATAGTGTTGTAAGTCAAGGATATAAGATATACATGTTGAGACAGTAATGGCAATTAACGAAGAGGCTGCTGATATCCAGAAAAGCTGTGGTTTCTTCGAGCTCAAGACAGAGCTTAAGGCAGAACTCAATTCACAAGCATAGTCTCAGTTGCAGTCCAAGCCTAAGTCAAGAACAGAGCTACACCAGTTGCAGACCAAGCCACTGCTCCAGCTCAAGGAGTTGGTTAAGCCATCTGAGGCTAATGCTCATGGGATGAGCACGTGTATGAAGTTGAGGAGGTTACAATCCACTTGTGGTGGTTAGAAGAATCTGTTAGGAAGTTATATAACATAACCATGGTTAGTTAGTGGATGTATTGAGTTAGGCAGTTACAGTGACTGTATAAGAGACACAGTTTCTATTGATTGAAAAATAAGAAAAATAAAAATGATCTTCTTCAAATCCTTTAGTCTCTACTTAGGCTTATCTTAGTTCATGGCGATGACTGAGTCAATTTGACTCAACTTTATATTACTATGAAACCATTTTAAGCAATAACCCAGATCGGTGATGAAGACAACCAGACATAAACTCTTAAATTCAAAAGAAAAAGGCCATTTTTACTCGCTGAAAGTCTCCAAAATTTACATTTTTTTCAAACACTTTCATGTTTCATATCATTTTTGTTTTTGTTATTTTCAGTATTCATATTTCTTTTTTCTAGTTCTCAGAAACAAAAATAATAGAAAGTTGTAAACATCCATTGTTTCATATTGTTTATTTATTTATTTTTTTGTGAAAACCATTTTCAAAAATTAGAAAATAACTTTTCAAAGTTGCATAAAAAATGAGTTGTTTGTAGACATTTTTTTCCCAAAACAATTAACCAAACTTGGCTCATTTTCCAAACTTCGTTTTTGAAAGCAACCGACTTTCTCAGAAACATCAAAAAGTTATTTTCAATATTTCAAAGACTGTTTTGCGCACAAAAATAAAAACAATATGAGAAAAATGGTTTGTTTGGTTTTTGAATCTTTTCATTGTTTTTGTTTTTGAAAACACAAAAAAGACGAATAAATGAGACATCAATCTTCTTTCCTGTTGTGTCGATGACAAATAAGAAATCACAAATCAAGTTGAATTAGGAAGTCCCAACACATCCAAATTTGTCATCTTCAAAATATTTCAAAATCCTCCCTAGGAAGAGGTTAGCACTGCCGTCTCCAAAAACAATAACTTACTTATCCTGTTGCGTTAAACTTTTCGCAAATAGAAAACAATGGAAAATTCCCCTTATCTCCTCTCCTTTTAACTAATAACTGATCAACCTAGACTAGGAAGTAATAGTGCTATGCTAAGGAATAAGATAAGTGATGATATATATCCTTTCTTTGAAGCTATGTCTCCTTTTCTCATTTCATTCATGGTTGAGCCTTCCATAGTGATGATGATATGTCAGTCACTGCTTCGCCAACCGTTAGATAGAGTGATCCAAAAGACTCCAAGATATTGGATTGGTGAAGCTTTTCCATCACATTTCCCACAGGATTTGCCAACACAAACTACATTTATAAACAGAAAAATGGCCATTAGAAACACTACCAAGATTCATAAAATGATAGGTAGAAAATCATCAGACAAATAAGGTCTCTAATATATGAAATCGGTTAGCTGACATCGATTTGTTAATTACCTGAAGTGATCTTTTCTCCAACATCTTTCTAAGTTCACATATTGTGTCAATTCCACTGGTGTCTATGGCTGTTACAGCTGTTGGAACAAAAATGTACAAAAGACAAGCTAATTAACGCCTTGTTCATTTTTTGAAGCATAGGAAAAATGCTTTATGTGAAAAACATTTCTTGTTTTTGGTTGTCACCCTGAAAATGATATGTGCTAGTGGTTTGTGGTAGTGATGGTGTTGGGTGGTTGTGGAGTGATGACAATGGTGATACTCATGGTGGTAGTGGCGTTGTAAGACTCTAGTATGACAAATATTCTTTAACTTTTAAAAAGAAGATAATTGCCCAAAGCAACTCATTTTCCATTTACAAATATTTTTGTTGACATTTATTTTTTGTTATACTAAATGCCAAAAGATGTGTAAAATATTTTTCAAAAAACAAAGCAAGAATAATGGCCGTGGTGGAAGCATGGCTTCAAATTCTCTCCATTTCCATAATAAATGGATGTGAAAAATCAACATTGACAATATTCAATTCAAGTCCAAAAATGATTTAAGGAAATTTAAAAAAAAAAAAAAATAATGATTTGATCTGATAGTTATACATCGTTAGATTTAGATTTTGATGACATGTTTCAGCAATGTGAAACGAAATAAAAAATTTCATTTCATTTATGAGATGGAGAGGATAAAAATCCATGGAAGCATATTCACAAGTTTATCCCAAAAATTGTTTGAAAAGTTGAGAGCTTGAGTAATTCTCCAATAGTACTAATTAACTTAGAGCAATCAAATGCAGCAGTGTCATTATCACAAGTTTAGCACAAATCAAGGTTTACTAAAAGGCTCTCACCAGTCATGTCCAAAATGATGCATTTCATCGTACTTTCATCATTTGAT